TACAGTAACTGTGTCCACAGGGAATGGCCACTGGATCCTTCAGGAGATCCAGACACACTGGACAGCTGAACTGCTCCACTGAAAAAACACTGGCTTCAGCCATTTCACTGTCTACAGCAATACAGACACACAAACAACAGCTCAACAGCAGATCAGTTTCAATTTCTTTTAACTGAGTTTCCTGGTTCTGTGTTTGAGAGATGTGTGCAAAACAGGTGTGTCTGTAAGTCTGTAAACTCACATACTGAAATATCCACTAGATGTCAGTCTCATACAGAAACTCAGAGTTGGTGAGAACACAAAGTTGCTGTGAGTTAGATAAACACCTTTACAAAATAAAACTACCGTAATACACAAGTGTAACTTGCACATGAACATTATACACACGCAGGGTTTGACACTAACGTTTTCAATCACAAGCCAGTTTATCTATTAAATAAGTTCCTTTTGGAGTGGACTTGAATTGACGCTGTTGAGATCCTGGAAGAACACTTATTTGGCTTGTGCCCATAACCCAGCTATGTCCAATTATTAGATGATTGTGATTCTGCATGAGCAGGTTATGGGGCGATGTCCAGCGTTGAAGAGGCCTTTCCTTCCAAGCCCTGTAGAGATACATCTGGGTTGGTTGGTAAGGCATACACAGAGGCAGGTCAGAACCATGGGGTGCAGGGACACATCAGCCTGACATCCTAAAAGAGCTGGACCATGGTGAGAGATTAGATCCAGAGACGGATCTCACCCTCTGCGCCACCAAACAAACGGCTCATGATATCAGTCATTGGATGGCTGTCCTGGTTGTTACAGAGAGGCATCTGTGGCTCACAGGAATCAAGGAAAGGGCAAAGCCTTTCTTTTGGTCGCCACTATTTCACCTCTTGGCTCATTCAGCGAAGCAGTTAATACTGTCATTGATAGCTTCCAGGAGACTGAGAGCAGTCATCTTTCAGAGAACTGATCCTGCTGTGGAGAAAAGTCTTCTCTTCTTTGCACAAATTACTCAAATCACAGAGCACCAGATGCCAAAATCAGACTTTATTGGAGGAAACAACAAAGCCAAGATGCCAGCTGAACATCTGACCATCCTTTCGAGATCCTCCGTTTGTATGCAGTATCTTCAACATTTTTCATCTTTAAACACATTCAAAGGTGATATATGCTGAAGATACTGCATAAACTGTGGTTAAAGATAGTGCTAAGTTATTTGTATTAGTGACACTTTTATTCACAGTAGATCGTTGGTGTGACAGTCTACTGTAAACTGCATTAAACAGAACATTTTACCCTTACGCAAAGAAAATATTTTCTCATATATTAACAAACAATATATTAAAGTATTTGTTGTATATAGAAAATGTACTGAATAATATATTGTGTTAATATATTCCAATAGAGTAATAAGAATTTGCTGCTTTTCATAGAAAAATATATAGTAATATATGCAATTTTATATTCAATAACATCAGAGAGAGTATAGGCTACTATATGACAAAAAGTTTGATTTATTGCCCCTCATAAACCCCCCTCCTCCTATCATAAATGGACACCTGTTTGGACACCTGTACACCCCCCACCCATCTAACCCGGCCATCTGTTTATCCACCCCAATGATCCCATGGAATTTATGATTGTTTGGGAAAGTGTTTTTGTGTGGGTTCATTGAAACTGTTTGTGCTTTAAACTTTAAATTGTGAAACGTGGTATGCTTATTAAACGGGGATAAGGGAAGTTTTTATTAAAGTTTTCACACACACACACACATACATTTAATTATACATTATACATTTATTATAACTAGTTAGAGTTTTTCACAAGTTAAACAAAAGACCCTCTCATC